GCTTTGAAATGGAGATGAGCACTGCCCCCTAGAGTCAGGAATGACTAGCATATATATTTGAGGGAACCCTTTACCTATTTTAGAATAGCATGGGATGTATCAGCTAGAGCTACACAAATCACTGTGGGTGAGTTTAATAAATACTAAATTTATTTTATTTTATATATTATAAAATAAACAAACTGTAATAGGGCAGGAAGCGGGGGGTGGGCTGAGAGGAGCAGAAGTATTTTTTTGCTTGGCTAGGAAAACTTTGTGTCCCGGCCTGTAAAATAGTGAAACAAAACCTGATTACCAACCAGTTTTCCAAATTCTTAGATGCACTGATAGTCATATTAAAAATAATCACATGTATATTTTAAGAAAAATATATATAAATATTTGTTTAAATGTGGGGTATATCCATATACTAAAAGATGCGTGTAGAAATTAAATAGGAGAATTTATGAACATACACAAATGTTTAATAAGCTGAAAATAAGTTTGTCCACTCTCAGTGCAACATGTTGTTATTTTACATGAGTAGTTGAACAGGACACATGCTTTTGAATTGTCTATATACATAGTTTAAACTTAAAACATTTGAAATACCAATTAATATAAATAAATGACAAATTGGGTAAAGCAGCTTAATGAAATTATTGAGGATGTTCCTGTTTGTCCAAATGCTTTTTATGTGTTTATTGTTTTGTAGTATTAACAGATCACCAGCACTTTGATACAACTACACTGAATACTATCCAAATGAGCACCATCCCTCAAAACTATCGCATCAGAGCTCGGCTGCTTAAATTTGAACCTGAGAAGCTCTATCAGTCTGTAAAGCTTCATTGCCCTCAGTGCCATGCATTGTAAGTGTCCACGTGACAAGGGATCTTGGTACCGATACCTTGTGAGTTGCTGGAGCTGTTGCAATTATTGCTTACAGGGTAGAATTACATAATACATTTAATCCCCTGCAATTTAAAATGTACAATAATTTCATCGTTTATTTTGATATTCAATATTTGATTGTTAATATTGCTATTTTATTTATTTTAAGATTCTAAACTGCCACAATCAAAGCTTTGCCGTAAAAACACAAACACTAGAAGCTAAAATTTGAATGAATCATATCCAGTGAAGTCAAATACAATGCAGAATGAAAACACCATACAAGCTAGGCAGTCACAAGTGACTCATTCAGAGCCTAAAACGATATGAATGTTTGCAAGCAAGTGTTCTGATATATGCCAATCAAACTCAACATGCAGTTTTCTTGGTGGTGTTAGAGAAGATATTTACCATTGCCTTTTCCCTAGGTGCTTTTTCACTTTCTCACCCACCTTACAACCCTGACATTTCTAGTCTCCCTTCCAAGCAATAACTTGGCCAATTTCATCTCATTTTTTGAGATTAGCTAGGCATTGCCAACATCTAGCTGCATTTGGCTGACCTAGTCTAGCCTCAAAAGCTAAGATTGGGCCTAGTTAATACCTGAATTTGATAATACCTAAGAATACCAAGGTTAAGGCTAGATTGAGAAGTAAGAAAAGAAATCCAGATTTTTCAATTTTTTGTAAAAAGTCTCTATACACTACCCAAACTCCAAAAAAAAACCCCACACCTTCTACCCAAGAAAACTATGTGAATGTAACAATGGAAGTCATGAAGGGTTGAATTCCACTTGAGGGAGATGATATCTTTTAATATATGCCAATATATCTTTAGAATTCTTTTGTTTAAAAATTTACATATGCACATATGTAAATGGTGTAGTATTTGAAAATTCAACAATCTGGCAGGTTTTAAAAAATATTATTTTTTTAAAAAAAAATTGCTCCCAAATAAAATGGCAACAGCAAAACATTCAGAAAATCCACTAGTGAAAATGGGCAGCCAGGGATCCAGCTGTGCAATGGTCCTATCAGATATCAGGGTAGAAATAGTGTGAGGTTACTTTTTGCCCAGTATGAAGTTACCTGTCTATTTGTGTTAATATAAAAGTGAGTCTTATTTTCTTTTGGGTCCCAAAATAAGCATTAGGGCTTATTTTCAGGGAAACATGATTTCCGGGTGATCAGCCCGGCTGGCTGCCCCAGCCCCCAGCATGGGCACAAGAGCTGACAACCGTTTAGGGACCGACGGTATCAGGCAGCAGCTGCAACCTGCCGGTGCCTTGGTCAACACACTCTGGGGCTGCATAGGCTATGCTGGCTACAGGCAAGCTGAAACACATGAAGATAAGCCTCCTGCGGCTGCCCACCACTCTGGCCCACTGACGCTTGGCATTCCTGCCGCCTTTGCAGCACGTCCAGATTGCCTGTCTCACCCCCGCCTCTGCTTTCACCTACTGCTCGCACAGATACTTAACTCAACTGTGCTGTGCGGACTGCGGCTCCTGCCAGACACACTTGACCTGTGCATGCTCACTGCTCCCTATGCTAGCCACACCCACCAAACCCCACACTAGGGCTTATTTTTGGGGTACAACTTATTTTAGACACATTAAAAACAGGTTAGGTTTATTTTCTGGATAGGTCTTATTTTCGGGGGAAACGGTATTCATATTGTATCTATAGAAAAGTTACTTTAAGCACATTTCTGGTGTTCAATTCAGGCTGTAATTGTTTCAGGCAAGAAATCCCAGATGAGTCTGAACTTGATTCAATTTTACGAGAAGCTTCAGTGACGTGTTTAGATTCAAACTTGCAAAGCACTTCATTCTGCAGTTCTACTGTGTGGCGGGCTGAAAATCAGGAACCACGGAGGGTAGCTGTTCATTTTGTGGCACACAATGAACTATTTCATGATCCAGAGGACACTTTAGTTTTTCTAGAAGGTTAGTTAATTAACTGTGTACATTTCATTGCTCATTATAATAATCTCTTATCCTAAAAACATTTGCATATCATCTGTTAACCCTCAAATACTTCTAATAAGCCAACAAAATTGAAGAGAATAGTTGTTCTATACGTTAGCAGTACATACACACATTTTTAGTTCTTACTACATAAGCACGCAAGGTCCAACCTTATTTTTTTCCTGTGTTAAACTCAAAGACTCATACAGATTCTTGAAAATATGGAAAAGGAATATGCTAGTTCTATAAGCTTATATGCTTAAGTCTCTATTGCCTCTCTTTCTCTCATTTTGAAGAAAGTCTCATCTTCAACTGTGTCTGTAACTAATGATATACAGTGAAACCTTGAAATAATTGATTCCTATTTAACATGTATCTTCAGATGCAATGGACCACATTCTATGCAGACATGCCTTCAAAATAACCAACAAGTCCCTTGTATTGTTGAGGCAAATTAAATTCCATCAATTTTCTTATAGCCATGATAATGTATATTATTTTCATAACCTAATTATGCAAATAATATTTTGTATGTTTTTGCATAATGATATTCTACAAATTATACATATAAATAGTTGTGATTATGTATTTTTCTATTTAACAGATTTGGAAATAATGGACAACCCTCTCCTCCCCAATGGTCCATTAAAATTAGAATTCAGTGTATTTGAGATATTATCCTATACAGGTAGTCTTGTTTAGTGACTACAGTTGGGATCAGCAACTTGTTTATTTACTAAATAAAATTGCAACTGTGCTTATGATCTTACTTCGTTTCTTTTTGCTTTACATACCTGCAAAAGTCATAAATGAAAGGACTGGTCCCAGTTACTTTTTCATCACCATCATAACTGTGAACAGTTGCTCAATGAAGACTTTAAAATAGGATAAAAATAAGGAGTAGAAGATGCAGAAAAGAAAGAAAAAAGGGGAGAAAAGAGAAATAGAAAAGTGAGAATATGGGAATGAATAAAAGAAATACTACAGAAGTGACTTCCCACTTCACAGCAAATATAAACAATTTTAGTAATTTATCACAATGATGTCATCTTCCCATATCACATCTGTCATCTATAATCCATAAAGCATGGTCATTTCAATCCTGGTGTCAACAAAAGTCCATTAAAGATTTCTAGAGATAGCATATCTTTTTCATTTTTTTATGAGAATCTAGCTTTATATTCATAACTATCTTAATATTTAATCCATTTAAATAACATCATAGAACATTTCTCACCCTTTCTTATGAGATATTTCAAAACTTTAACAAGTCTCTTTAGCAAATCCAATATAGGAAAATTATCCAGGTAACTCGTTTGGTTTATTGTTGGTATATTCTTTTTAATTATTAAGGCATCAGGCTTTTTTATTTTGGGATGTCCAGCATGACATCTTTTTACATGACATTCTTACAGCCTGTCACTTTTAGACCCAGTTTCAACTCAGTCTCAATCTTGCCAGGTAGAACATATTCCTCTTTCCTTATATCTTACAAACAGTTTCTCATAGAAGCAGATGTTCTGTTGACTATTAAGATTAACTTTTGTGACTTTTTTTTAAAAAAAAATATTCTTTAAAATTAGAATATTTTGCATTCTGTAATTGTGTCTTCTGTAATTCTGCCTGTCCTGCTGAGAGTCACCTTGTAGCAGAGATGGACACCATAAACATTTAATTAATTAATAAATTTAGTAAAATTGTAAATTGAGTTAATGTGGGGATTGGGGAGTCTTTTTTTGGTAATTTTTAGTTCGGTTTAGTTTCCTTTGGCATCCAATTTTTAAAATCGTATCTTACTATTTTTTTTCAGATGTAGTTATTTGTGACCTGAATCATTAGGATAGAAAAATTAATCATAAGAAGAAGACGAATTAGATGGAACAAGGAAAATAAGGATATGAAGGAGAACTTGCAATAATAACAAAAACATTCTGAAATTTTAAAAATATCTTTAGCTATACAGCATACATATTATGTATAATATACTGTATAATATATATATATATTGTATAACTGTATATCTATTATACAGTGTGTGTGTGTGTGTGTAAATGTATATACACTATAAACTATAATATACATAATATATATTATATAATTATATATAGTATAATATCAGTTATGTTTATTTTATTTGTGGGTATGTGTGTATGTATATAATTGGAATATGCAATCGATCAGTCTTCCAGCTGATTAAAATGTGAGATGCAATGCCTTTCTTACTGCAAGCATACTTTTAACTTAAGCATCCTCTGGATGTCAGTATTCTCACAAAGATAAAATTGTATTCATACTTAAAAGCAAAGGCCTTGTAATATATTTAATTTTATAGGAACATATAAACCTTACTTCTGGAAGGAATTTAGGCACAGTCTACAAGATCATACTATCTCTGAGATACAGATGTGTTGGCCTGGTTTGACTTTTTATTGTTTTTAATCCTATTTGGCATTGCTTTCTCTGTAGTCTGCTCAATCTCCAGGATATAAACTGGAGGAAATAAACAAAATACAAATCAAGATAATAATCATTAAACGGAATGGCAACTATCCAAATAGATTGGTTATGCATAGCCATTAAGTCTGCCAATAGAAGGAAATTTCCTGCTAAAATGTGTCATTCAACTTTTCTGACAGCTTTTTAAATACCATATTTAACATTACAGAAGTGACTAACGTTTGTGGAAAAATCAAGTATGTTGTAATATAAACAAATTTGACATTATATATTGGAAGCTAGATTGGAATATGCCCATTTGGATTCTGCTGGGATTTTTAATGCATCCAGTGAAACAATCTCCAGCAATATTAATTAACTCCCCAACTTGTCAGTAAGATGGTATAAAATAGCCATCACCAGCCAGTTTCTCACAGTGGTCCATATTTCATGAAACACTCTCTAGGCAATCATTTGGAATTTGGAGATTTAGAGTCAATTGCATGTAGCACGAGTTTTTTTTCAATTCAATATATGGAAGTCTGAGTGTATAGTGTAGGATTATAGGTGATGGTTGAGGTTAGGAAGACTTTGTGTGGTGTGCTGAGATTTTTTTTAATGTAAATTTTTTTAAAAAATAATCTGAGTTGAATTTTAAATAGTCCACCTTTATTTCAACATTTAACAATCAGCTATGAAATGTTTGTATACCTCATCTACTACTAATCAGATGACATCTACATTTGTTTCCACAAACTACCAATGCATTAATGCCCAGGGATTAATGTGGTAATTCAGTGAATATAATACTATTTAAACAAAAATGATTGCCTTTAATTTTTTTATAGGAGGGACTCGAAATGAAATCTTGACGTTCACTAGCAAATTTAAAGGAATTATACCAGTGACAGCCATAGAAGACTCTCTTGCGCTTTTGGATCTTTCAGTTCCATATTTTTGGGAAGGAAACATGCAGTATTATGGGTAAATGCAAACTTAAGCATAAAGCAATATATGTATACATATTCAGCTTTGTTCACTTAATCAAATTTTGATGGTTAAACCTCTGATCTGCACATATGAAATGTTTGAGAAGCTATATTATAAATTAATTGAACAAATAATGAACTATAACAAATAGCTCAGGCTACATGGTTCAGTTTAATTTATCCTATAGTTGAACAAAATGATCATAGAAAATTATCTATGCGGTCAATAATAGACAGGGACTGGTTGACACATAATCAAATGAGCAAATTGAAAAAATATAACTGAAACTTTATGGATTACGGTGTTTCATCTATTACAGTATTATCCATTTGATGTTAGCTATGGAAAAGATTATATAATAATTTAGGGGGCTGGTGGGTGGGTGTGGCCAGCTTGATGTCACGTGTTGGGGTGCCTGTTGTGGCCCATGCACTCTGCCAGCAAAAATGGGCTCCTGAGTTCTGTTTTTGGCTTTGACAGCCTCCTGCAGCCCTCTGCCAGTGAAAGCAGAGCTCAGGAGGGCTACCCATGGGTCAGTCCTTTGCTATTTCCAGGGCAGCCCCGCAGGCCGGATCCAACCCTCAGGCCTTGAGTTTGCACCCCTGATCTGAGGCATTCATGATCTCCCAATTTCTAGCCTGGTATCTTATCCACCAAAGTGCAGTACCCAGGATTCCCAAGCTGAATGTACACAAAAAAGGGCCTTCTTCTCCTCCCCCCCGTTTGTGTGTGCGTCATTGTTTAAAATTGTCAATAGTTTACAATTAGAAATTGTAATTGCAAGTAATAGGTGTAAACAATGAATAAACTTCATTAACAGCATTCATAAAAATTCAAAATAAAATCAGTAAGACAAACATTAAAGCAATAACAGAAAGTAAAAAGTAATAATTAAAAAGTTTAAAAATCACAGAAGAATTGATACATTAAAAGTCTGGAAGAATGAAAAGTATCTTTGGCTGGTGCCAAAGACACAATAAGAATGGTGCCTCCCCAAAATGTTGGAAATGCGAATCAGTACACGAAACATATTACCATTTATGGTGGACCTGTGAGGAGACTAAAAATTTTTGGAAAAGGATCAAAAATTGGCTGGAGGCAATAACGGGGGTTAAAATAGAATGGAAATCTGAAGGTTTTTTTTATTAGGAATAATGTCTGTGAAATACAAAAAAGAAATCCAGTATTTAATACTGCCCATAAATTGAAAAACAAATTAATTCCAAGTGAAGATGAAATAATAAGAAAGGTTATGGATTGTGCTGAAATGGGCAAACTAACTAAAGAAATCCAGGGAAAAGAAGAATCAGAATTCTACCAGATATGGGATAAATGGTATAGATGGATGGAGGAAAGAAACAAAACTCAATGAAGGAATATCACAAAACTCAAAAAATAATAGTTATGAGTAAAATAAGAGGGTTAAGAATGGTGAAATCCAAATGAAATACAATAGAAGGGGAAATAATATAAGGTGAGCGGTATCGATTGATAATGGCTATTAGAAAGAACAGGAAGGTCCTGTTCATATTGTATTGTGTAAATGTGGTGTACGTCTAAGTTTTGTGTGGGTGTATTTTACATGTTTGTTAATTAAAAAAAAAAAAAGAATGGTGCCAGATATACCTAAGAACCAGTTTGGTGTAATGGTTAAGGCATTAAAACTAGAAATTGAAATCCGTAAATAGATTTTTAGGAACACCCTGATGTTCAATTCTCTGCATGTCCTTTAGGTTGTATGGCCAAATAATTTATTTTTGTGGGCAATGATTAATAAAAACCATTACTTTCCGGTGCTTTATTAAAAGAAAAACCTGCGTTTAAAGCAGTGGGAAATTTCCTATCAATTGGCATGATGTTGAGACCAGCTGAATCTATGAGTTATGGTGATTTCTAATTGATATTTTGTTCCAAATGCTAGGTGCAAGCACTGTTCCAAACCTAAGGCTATGGAAAGTCTGGCTGGTCTTGCTTCACAGGACAATCCATCTTGGGAACATACTTCTATAGCACAAGGTTATGTGATATTCTTCTGCTATTCAATAATATTGGACTTTCATTCATCAGTTTATGTGTAACTTAAAGTAGCAAAATTATTTCAGCAGGGAAAGAAATGCCTACAACTGTCTTGCTTATAAAGGTGAATTTTATGATAGATGCCACAAGATGGTTATATTGTGCAGCATATTTACAGTAGAATATCCACAGGTGAAAAAAGGGAGACAATACATTTAGCTAAATTTTAAAAATAGGCTATAAATAAAGCACTTTGTGGAAATACAACATGCATGATTTTATATTCTTTTGTTTATTCTGGTATTATTTAAATAAGGCATAGTAACCCAAAAGAAATAGAAAGTAGATATAACCCAAAGCAGAGTTAGTAATTTGCAAATAATTACATCATTCCATCAAAACCACTGAATAGTTTTATGAAAGTTTACAGGCTAAATTTTTATACCACATTTTTTTTTTGGCATTACATTCCAATGAGCAGTATACTTTCTAGACTTTAAATATTTATCAACATATGCCACACCTTCTACTCTGGAAAGTTTTTTCTGTTTTTTCTTTTATTTATATAAGACATAAAATTCAATTTCAATCAAATGGTGTCTGGTACAATTATTTTTAGGAATTCATAATCAAAATGTTTACAATAGGTATTTATCACAACAATATTAATTCTATAATAATGATAATATTTTACTTGTTTACCTTGTTTGGTCAAGGGGTTACAAATGAATGAGTCAGTTCTGTTTCAGTGGCATATGGAAATAGTAGAATAGTACAGTAGAATATCCACAGGTGAAAAAAGGGAGACAATACATTTAGCTAAATTTTAAAAATAGGCTATAAACAAAGCACTTTGTGGAAATACAACATGCATGATTTTATATTCAGCTCAAGTATGCTAGGTTGCATTCTAGACACTTAGTATATGTGTGTCCATAAGAGCCAAGATCTCCTTCTTCAGTTTTTCTATATGAGATTTCAACCAATAGCCCTTGACCTCATGAGACTTTTAAAAAAATAATTAAATTTATATTTATTTACTAAATGCTGCTGTTATTAAGCTCTTCTTGCCTTGAATCATTTTTAAATAACATTTTTGGTCTGCTTCTGCGTAGAGTTAGGAATTGTACCTCTCGAGTACGTCTTCGTGATGAAGTTTACATTGGATGATGGAACAGGAACATTGGATGTATATCTCCTGGACACTGTAAGAGAATAGACTATGGGTCTCTTGACTTAATTAGATTAAATCTAAACTTATATTTGATCAAAGCTATTTTTGTAACAAAGTGAAGATGGCAAGGACTACGTAGTAATTAAAAACACATCTCAATTCCATGTACAGTTGATTGAAAAATAAGCATATCCAAGTCCCTTTATAAATAGAGAAAGGAGGATACCTGCACTGAGCTTGTGTCTACCTGTTTACTTATTTTCCAATCAGTCCTGGAAAATCCTTCTGTTTTTTCCCCCCTATTTTAAATATATCCTTAATTCACTGGGACACTTTTGTAAATAAATAATTTATTAAATAAAAATAGAACAGAATAGAATAGAATACTTTATTGACCAAGTGTGATTAGACACACAATGAATTTGTCTCTGGTGCAAAAGCTCCCAGTGTGCATATAAATAACAAGATAATATAAACAGTGTACATACAAACAGAATTTATACACAAACATCAAGGTAATATAATCATAAGATACCAACAGGAGAAGGTAGTAGAAAAGATTAGAATGATAATACTAATACAGCCATACTGTATTATTGTATTACCCATATAGCCATGGGTAAATATTCTTAGAAATAAGACTATACTATGGTAATTATGTGTTCAATGATGGCACAAGGGAAAAAACTA